TCAATGCTAAACATATATGCACCAATGCATATAGCATCCAAATTCTTAGAGAAGTTAAGTGAGTTATAGGAAGAAATAGATAGCAAAACTATACTAGTGGGAGACCTCAACCTCCCCTTCTCAAAGCTAGATAAATCTAACGACAAAATAAACAAGAAAGAAGTTAAGGAGGTGAATAGAATTTTGGAAAAGTTAGATATGATCAAACTCTGGAAAAAACTTAATGGGGATAGAAAGGAGTATACCTTTTTCTCAATGGTACATGGCACCTACAAAAAAATTGACCACATATTAAGGCATAAAAACCTCATAGAAAGGCAGAAGTATTAGATGCATTCTTTTCAATAAAAATTACGTGTAATAAAGGGCCATGGAAAGACATATGAAAAATTAATTGGAAACTAAATAATCTAATCCTAAAGAATGAATGGGTCAACTAACAAATCATAGAAACAATCAATAATTTTATCCAAGAGAATGACAATAATGAAATAACACTAGATTTTATGGGATGCAGACAAAGCAGTGGCTAGTGGAAATTTTATATCTCTAAATGCTTACATGAATAAAATAAAGAAAGAGCAGATCAATGCTTTGGGTATGCAATTTAAAAAGCTAGAAAAAGAATAAATTAAAACTTCCCATTTTACCACCAAATTAGAAATTCTGAAAAATCAAAGAAAAGATTAATAAAACTGAAAGTAAGAAAACTGTTGAACTAACAAATAAAACTTAGAGCTGGTTTTATGAAAAGACCAATAAAATAGATAAACCTTTGGTTAATTTCATATAAAAAAAGAAAGAAGAAAATCAAATTACAAGTATCAAAAATGAAAAGAATGAATGCATCACCAATGAAAAAGAAATTAAGGCACTTATTAAGAGCTATTTTTCTCAACTTGTATGCCAATAAATCTGACAATCTAAGTGAAATGGATGAATATTTACAAAAATATTAATTGACAGATTAACAGAAGAGGAAATAAAACACAACCCCATTTCAAAAAAAAGAAATTGAAAAAAAAAAGAAAAAAAAGAAATTGAACAAGCCATTAATGAAATCTCTAAGAAAAAATCTCCAGGGACAGATGGATTTCCAAGTGAATTCTACCAAATATTTAAAAAACAATAAATTCCAATACTGTATAAACTATTAGGGAAAATAGGTAAAGAAAGAGTGCTATCAAATTCCTTTTAAGAAACAAATATGGTGCTGCTACCTAAACCAAAAAGAGCCAAAAAATAAGGGGCAGAGCCAAGATGGCTGAGTAAAAGCAGTGACTTGCCTGAGTTCTCCCCTAAACCCCTCCAAATACCTGTAAAAATGACTCTAAACAAATTCTAGAGCAGCAGAACCCACAAAAAGATAGAGTGAAACAAATTTCCAGCCCAAGACAACCTGGAAAAGGTCTGATGCACCAGGCTGAGAGAAGAGCACAGTTCAGTGTGGGCCATGCCAGGCAAAGATGGAGCAGGCCTCAGGAAACTGAATCACAGCAGCTGTGGTGGTGTTCAGATTTCTTAACCCACAAACGCCAAAGACAACTTAGAAGGTCAGTGGGAAAGGTCTGTCAGACCAGGATGAGAGAAACCCAGTCCAGCCCTGGCCCTAGTGCAGCTCCAGGATGGTGACCACAACAGCAGTGGCTACTTCTGGAACTCTCGGCCCACAGATGGTGGGGTGATTGAGTAGTTGATCAGAGGTGGATTGCAGAAATCTCTTTGCTGGTGGCAGGATTCTCTTGCTTTGCTCATGCTTGGATCTGGGTTACAGTCCTGGGTGGTGGTCCTGGGGTGAGGAGGAGTGCTGGGGAGGCAGAGCTTATGGAATGATGGAGAGGGAATCCTCCTCACAGTTTCAAGCAAAAAAAGTGCTTGTGGTCACTCATAGACCAAAGCACAGGCCAGGAAAGGAGTAAACACCTCTCTTGATCATACCACCTTGGAAGTAAGTAAAATTTACAGGTCCCTAGAAGTATCTCTGAAAACAGCTACACAAAACCCCTGAACCTTGGGACAGTATACCCTCCACACTGGAAGCAGAGCTGTACCTTAACAAAAAGTTAAAAAGTTAAGCAATTGTCTGGGAACATGAACAAACAGCACAAAAAAATTCTTTTTTGTCTTTGTGCTCATTTTTCTGCATATTTTGTGACTTTGTACTTTCATTAAAAGTTGGGCTCTGTTCTTGGAGTGGAGAGGGCACTGTCCTAAGCTTTCTGTGCTGGAATTTAGGGTCTTGCTGCTGGTTTGCATTGCGTGTGGGGTGGTTTTTGCTGCCTTGTGCAGGGGCAGGGCCTCCCTGTTGGCCCACCCCATAAATGGTGACTCATTGCTGGCCTGCTCCAGGGGTGCGGCCTTGCTGATGGCTTGCAGTAAGGATGGGCTCTCTCTGTGTTATTGGTCTGCCTCAGGGCTCAGGTCTTTCTTCTAGTTTACAGTAGGGGTATGCTGGTGGCATGTCTTGGGGCTTGGGGCCTCCCTGTATGCCCACTGGGGTTCATTCTGTCACTGTTGTTCATTCACTGAGCTCTTCTCCCAACCTAGTGAGACAGACCTTTTCTGCTGATCCTCCAATTTGTCCTTTGCTGGTAAGCTGCTTTGCTGCTCTAAAATTTTATCTGAGGCATTGTTGTAAGGTTGTTTGGAGGGGAATTTTGGAAGGCTTCAGGGATTTTGTTCCTCACTCCACCATCTTGGCATCAGAAGTCCCCCAGCAAATGAGATTTTTTAAAAGATATGTACAGAAGATAGAAGGAGGGCAGTCAACAGAGGATGAAAGCAAAATGATGGTTCATTATGGCGAGAACATTATGAGAAATGCTAAAATTCAGAATGAATTGAGGTTGGTAAGGAAAAGTAAGGAAAATCAAAAGGAGTTGTTTTGGGTTTGAGAAGGGGTTGTTTAATTTGTTTTGTATTTTTTTTCCACACTGAGAAGAAAAAAAAGCAATAAAAAAGACATAGAACTGCTTCTTGGAATAGATGAAACAATAATAACTGACAACAGAGACCAGGTAGAGCTGCTCAGTTTTGTTTCTTTTTTTTTTCCTCTGCTGAAAAAAATCACCTTTGAACAGAAAACAACAGAAAAAAAATAGCAAATAGGGAGTTGGCAGTTACTACCTGGTGACGCAAAGCTGGGAGGGGAAATAGAGTCAGGGTCCAAAAAGAGGAAAGACAGCTAAGGTCCAAAAAGATTTTGACAAGCTAGAACATTTGTTTTAATCTAATAAGGCAATTTAATATGTCATGAGTATAAGGACAAGAAGGACAGGTACATTTCTTCTGTGCAAAGGCATCTGCCCTTATTTGGGCACTGGAAGTAAAGAGGTGTGTGGTCAGGCATGGCCACTAGTCTCCACTAGCTATTCATGATGCAATATCTGGATGAGCCAGAAGGTGGCACCCTTATCTTGAGCTACAAGCGAATAATCTTGCCTTTTTGGATCTCTGCACATTTCAATAGCTAATCAGTGAACCAATCAATCAACAAACTTTTATTTAGTGCTTATTATGATACAGACAGTGTGCTAAGCACAAAAGGCATAGAATCTCAAAGGGAATAATGAAAAATGGGAATGAAAGGGAAGTGGTACTCCAAAAGTTCAAATTATATTGTAAACCTACTCATCAAAATTATTTTGAACTCATTAAGAAACAGAAAAGAGGGACTTCCAGGAGCTAAGATGGCAGAATAAGCAGTAAATTGCCATAACTCTTTCATGTTCACCTCCAAACAACCATAAAATAGTGCCCCAAAACAAATCCTAGAACAGCAGAACCAGCAAAAATAAAACAAAACAAACAAACAAACAAAAAACCAGGATGAAACAATCTTTTAGTCCAAGAAACTTGGAAGATGGGGAAAAAAGATCTGTCTCATCCCGGTAAAAGGAGAACGCAGTCCAGGACAGGAAGTATCCTAGCAAGCTACCAGCAAGCCCTACCTCAGCAAAATAGAGAAAGATCTTGAGCCCCTGTGTGGTGGAGCAGGCAAATGCCAACACCGGGACCCCTCAATGTGCCTTGGCATAGCCAGGCGAACCGGCAGACTCCAGCTCCAAGAACCATCACATTCTTCAATGTAGCCCTTGGCAAACAGGTATCTTCCAGGAGACAGGCATCCATGTGCTTCAGTGTAGCCCTGGGAAAATGGAGAAACACCTCACTGACCTCACCATACACTAGGACCCCAGCTCAGCACCAGGTAAGCTGCCAGACCCCTATGGCCTCCAGCAATTCCAGCTATCTCCCCACGTCATCAGTGTATCACCAGACACAGAGGGTCCCCCAGGGGCCTCAGGGCAACATCAGCAGCACTAGCTAAGCAGCCAGGACCTGCAGCCCCTGGCAGAAGAAGCCTGAGACAGTGCCCCTTCCACCCAGGGAGCAGAGCTCAAATTTAAAAGAGAGGAATAAGGCCAAAAAAGATGAGAAAAAAAAACAACAGAAAAAGAATCTGACCATAGAAAGTTACTGAGGTGACAGGGAAGACCAAAATACAAATTCAGAAGAGGACAATGTCAAAACATCTATGAGCAAAACCCTGAAGAAAAATAGGAAGTGGTCTCAAGCCCGTAAACAACTCATGAAGGAGCTTAAAAATAATAGAAAAGAGGTAGGAGAAAAATTGGGAAGAGAAATGAGAGTGATGTAAGGGAATTATGAAAAAAGAGTCAACAGCTTAGAAAAAGAAAGGAAAGAAAGAAAGAAAGAAAGAAAGAAAAAGAAATCAGACTATATAAATAAGCAAGTTTCAGAAACAGTTGAATTCAAGAGCTCAGTATTTGATGAAACCTCCCCCCGCCAAAAACAAACCACCTCTTTTGAGAAAGTCTCTTCTATTTGACAAGAACTCCAGGGAATCTGGGAATGTTCTCTAAATAATATGACTTCTCCCCAGTATCATCCTATTCTTTCCATGGCCTTCTTCTATTGGTTTCCTTCTGTCCCTCCCCCAAGTGACGAAACCATATTTCAATTCCTATGTAGTTATTTCAAATGAGAAGTGAATCTCTCTCTAAAGCTGAGGTGTCACTAAGATTTTCTTATATTCAATCTGAATAGAGACACATGGCTTATCTCCTCCAAAGATGTCTCCTGGTGTTCCTCTTCTACCCAATTGCAGGTAAGTTCAAATGGCTACCAGCATCCAGTCTCTCTACCCTGTCTCATAGAAGAGCCAGTAAGGACTAATTGTTTTTCAATTTAATTCAGTTTAACAAGTATTTAAAATATGCCTACTATATGCAAGGAACATTGTTTCCTCAACTGTAAAATGGGGATATTAAAAGCATCTCCCTCCTAGGATCATTTTGAGGATCAAAAGAAATAATTTTTGCAAAGTGCTTAGCACAGTGCCTGGCAGATGGTAGATGCTTAATACATGCTTATTCTCTTGTTTTTCCTCCCTCTTGACTTTTCTCCTTTCCAAAGTCATAGACTCACATGGTTCAGTTGACTCTCAAATACATAATACTGTAATACATCATTCATTTCTCTCTCTGTGTCTCTTTGACTCCTCTCTGTCTGTCTCTGTCTCTCCACATCTCTTGGTCTTTCTCTAATCACATACTAATAACAAGAAAGACATAAAAGACTCAACTTTCAGATTTTTCCCTCTAAAATTACCAAAAGCTCCTTTTCTTATATACCAGTTCAACTCATGCCTATTTTTAATATTATATAGAGATGGTGAAAGCAAGGATAAATAACAGAGGATGAATGCAAAAATGTGGTATGGTCTTATAAGCACAGTGTAAGGAGTACTAAAGCATAGGATGATATGTTCTAGAATTTTGCCAGGAATCAAAATCAAGCTCATTGGCCTATAGTATGGTAATTCTCTTCCCTTTCTCATTCCTCTCTTGAACTTTGAGATATTTGCCTTTTTCCAATCCTTTGGTATCTTTTCTATTCTTCATAATTTTCAAATATCACTATTCACCAATTCATTCAGTACATGGGGATGTAATTCATCTTGACCAGGCAACTTGAATATATCAGGGACAACTAAGGGTAGTTAAAGTGCAGCTAGATGGTGCCATCTCCAGTCATCCTAACTATTGCCTTGCCACCGAACTTTGATGACTCTGTAAAAGAGAGTGAGGCTGACTATTTGAGAGAGTCCACCTCACTTAAATCCAATTCATTCAAAAGTCATGATATTACTTATTCATATTGTCATTGGTCTTCTTCAAAAAGGGAAGGATGAATGACAGGAATAAATGGTGCAGTAGATAGAGTGCTAGGCCTGGAGTCAGGAAGACTCATCTTCATGAATTCAAATCTAGCCTCAGACACTTACTAGCTGTGTGACCCTGGGCAAGGCACTTAACCTTGCTTGCCTCAGTTTCCTCATCTGTCAAATGAACTGGAGAAGGAAATGGCAAACCATTCCAGTATGAAGAAAACCCTGGGGGACTGAAATGACTGAACAACAACAACAAAGAATAGATAAAAAAGGAAAGGATAAGAAAATGAGGTGGATTCTTTTTACATAAATTGGGAAAAGAAGAGAGAAGAAGGAATAGGAATGCTGCATGGAGTGGATAAGACCATAGTATTAATAAAGGTTAACATTTATATAATGATTTAAGGTTCTCGAGGTACTTTACAAACAATATATTATCTCATCTGATCCCCTGTAAAGTAGGCGCTATGAATGTCCCCATTTTACAGATGAAGAAACAAACTCAGAGATTAAGTGACTGTATAGGATCTCATAAGTAACAAACAAATGAAGTAGGATTTGAATCCATAGATTCCTGACTCCAAGTCTAATAGTCTATCAACTAAATGAAAATGATGATAATAACTAATGGAGAGAAAGCATAAGTGTTCATTTTTTATTTTCTTACTATTGTCCTTGCCAAAGAGAAGGATCTTTGGACTGTACAGTAAAAATAGCTAATATGTATCCCATTTGATAGCCAAGCTAAGAAAGGAGATAGTAAGAGAACGTTTAGTTGTCCTTAATACATTCAAATCACCTGTTCAAAATGAACCATATCCTCAGGTACTGAATGGTTGAACTGGTGAATGTCATTGTTGATCCAAGGTCAGTAATATTTGAAAATTGTAAGTGTGATTCTGAGTGACAAGAATGGGGGAAAGGACACTGAGAGTAGATATAGATGTAGAAATAAGTATGTTATGTTCAAGAATTGGAAGGGCTGTCATGGAAAAACAATGAATGAATGAATGAATGAATGAATGAATGAGACTTGTTCTATTTGGTCCAAGGGGGCCGATCCAGGAGAACAGGATGGAAATTGCATAGAAGTAAACTTAGGCTTGCTAACAAGAAAATGGAGCTTAACCAAAAATTGAATGTGTTGCTTCTGGGAATGATGGAGTCCTTCTCATTGGTAATCTTTATATTTGTTGTTATTCAGTTGTTTCTGACTCTTTGTGACCCTATTTGGCATTTTCTTGGCAGAGATATTGGAGTGGTTTGCCATTTCTTTCTCCAGCTCATTTTACAGATGAGTAAACTGAGGCAAACAGGGTTCAGTGACTTGCCCAGGGTTACATGGCTGTAAGTATCTGAGGCTAGATTTGAACTCAGATCTTTCTGACTCCAGGTACAGTGATCTAGCCACTGTGCCATCTAGCTGCCCCAACTAAGATCATACACAGGTGCAAATGGTAAGTTAGTGGCCAACCTTAAGAGAGATTGGGGCCAGAATGCAGCCCATCCAAAAGACTTATGAAGTAAAGCTATCTAAGCAGAATGCAATAGATCCTTTTCCTTAAATCCAAGCTCTGTGGGACTAAATAATCTTTTAGCTTCATCCTAACTGGAATATTCTTTCTGAATCCCAGTCCCAACCATAACTACACATGCTTATTTTGTCATCCTGGCTTTGCTATGTATGTACATAGGACGATGGTATAGTCTTACCAGAAACCCCAGGGATAAAATCCTCAGATGAGGAGTTGGGGATAGAAAGTGAAATATGTACAGAAGGATTCCTATCTACTAGCAATTCTAGACATTTCAAGTCGAGTATTTCCTAGATTTTCCTGTCTCAAGTCTCTCACCACATTCAACTATAATAGTGATTAGTCTGGTCTCCACAGCCTAAAGGCCAAATGTGTCAGGTTTCCACCCCACCCCCACCCCTCAGGATTCTCAGGTACCCATAAGGGGTTGGGGGGAATGGGTCTTTCATCTTTGCCATTGGCTCAAGTCCCCACCAATTATGTTCCCCCAATATTAAGGGTCCAAGTACTCCAATTCCATTTAACTACTTGTCAGATTAGCTTTTACAAAAGAATATTTAATATTTACTTCAAAGGTATAGCAAGAAAGAACATACAAACATCTCATCCTCTTTCCCAACACCTGTAGACATAATCCTCCCTACACAGTCCTCGGTCTCTAGGAAGATAGGAAGTTAAAGTTCACAGTTTAACTCAGTCCATTAGTCCCAACAGGATCCAAGTTTAAAGCACCATATCTCCACTTCCACTCACCCTCAGCCTTGTATCCTAGGACCCTAGCTTCTCTAGGGCATCCCCTTTGGACTAGCTGTAACATCCAGCCTGGAATGTCAGGTTCCAAGGTTCCCATGACTCAAGCTCTCAAGTCTGGGACTCTGGGCCCTAGATTTACAACTGAAAAAGAACAAATGAAACAAGCCAAAGCCTGAAGGCCATTTCCCAGGGCCAGTAGGCTTAGAAGGTGCTTATTAAATCTTATTTAGCTTAACAGCATGGTGCCCTTGCAGTGAATGAATGAGACCTTCAACCCTGATTCCCACACAAAGAAAGAGTGACTGTGTCTCCTTCAGGTAGATTTAAAGACACAGACAATTCTGACTACACAGCCAATGGAAAGAAGTTGTTCTCACTCACAAGTTACACCAACATCTTCTCCAAGAAACAGATCCCTGGCATCTCCTATGTGAGTGTTTCTCCATCTTATATCATTTGGGTATACACCAATGTGCCTTTACATTTTTTACATTTACACATCCTCTCATAGTTATATGACTAAGCGAGTGTTAGATGTGGTGTTTGAAATCTAGTGCTATTTATACTAGAACATGTTCAAAGGGGTGAGGAGACCTGCCTTGTGTAGTTGGCAATTCCGCTCAGGATGAGGAGTGCAGAGCTATTAACCACACATGCTCAGTATGTTACATGTGTGCATGTGTGTCGGGGTTAGGGAGTGAGACTTTTACCATAAAGTGACTGTATAAGATACTCTATATTTCAGCTTTGAGCATTTTCTCTGGCTGTCTCCCATTCCTGGAATGCTCTCTCTCCTCATCTCTGCCTACTAGCTTCCCTGGATTCTTTCAAGTCTCAACTAAAATCTCATCATCTACAAGAAGCCTTTCTTAATCCCTCTTAATTCTAGTGTCTTCCTTCTCTTAATTATGTCCTGTTTATCCTGTATATAGCTTGTTTGTTTGCTACACATAACAAACATATTTGTTGGCTAATTCTCTCATACATTAGATTCTGTGCTCCTTGAGGGCAGGAACTGTCTTTTGACTCTTTTTGTATCCTCAGTGTGTGTCATATAGTAGGCACTGTGGTGGGCGGATTGATTGAAATGATTGAGAAAACAAAAGATCAAGCTTCAAAGCATATCCATTTATTAAACAATGCATGTCAATTACTTAACAAACAGAGACTAGGCTTCCTCAGCTTTGGCACTGGATCCCAAATAGAGAGCCAAACAGATTCTTATGAATTCAGAGAAAACAATTAATGGGATATAAACCAGGATAGGAAATTAGGTAATCTGATTTCTAATTAGAGGAAAGATTAGGGGCTTTCCAAATTGCGAGGGGGAGAGTGAACAGGTGCAATTTACTGAAATCAGAAAAAAAAAAGAGAAGTTACCCCACCCCCACCCAAGTGTCTCTATTTAATCAAAAGAACATAGAAACAACTGATTGGCCAGTGTAGGGCCAGTTTTCAGATAAGACATATGGGTTGCTTTAGATGTATAATTGTGAGAAAACTCTGCATTAATCTTATCTGACTGGGTTTCTGGTCAACATAACCTAGATCCTTAGTTAAGGGTCTCTAAATAACAAGAAGAGGTGGTCCAGCTTCCCAGCCTTGTAGGACTAGGTTCAAACAATGCAACAAAGCTTTCTCATAATTCCCACAATTGAATAAAGTTTTCTCACAAGACAGAAATTGGACTAGACCCATAACTGAATAGAAATGGAACCTGAGCTAGCTCCAGAATTGAGTTACAAGATGAAGTCAGTGTGATTCTCTCAATTCCCACAATTCCTTCAAATCCCCTCACCTTTGATTCCTGGGGGCAGGGCCAGGTATAAGCCAAATTTATAAGGTTTTTCATATATTTATAATCAGAATTATGTAAGTCAGGCTACAGATCAGATTAGGGGGTTCACAATGGACTAGTTTTGAGAGGGGAGATTTATATGTTGCCAAGATAACCAAGAAAATTCATCATAAACACAATAAAGCAAAAGACCAAAGTAATACAATGATGATCATCAATACTAAATAACATCAAGTCTCCTTGTATCCTAGTAACCAACTCCCAATGTCCATTAATCAGCACATCTTGAGTGCCAGATGTCCCATGTAGTTGTCTGGTCCTTGGAAATATCTTCTCCTGGACCTTGTGGAATAGCCTCATTCTCAGGACAGCTCTGAAAGAGTTCTGCTTCTCTGGTTCCAAATCACTTGTAGCAATCCTTAGGTAATTCTGCTAAAATCTGCTGGTAACAAGACATAATACAATTTAGTACAATCTCTTAAATTTGGTTTTCTAATAACTAGTTCATGTGGGGAAAAACAGCTCAAGCCTTATGGAGCAAATCCTATTAATAACAGTGCTGTAAGGAGAACATTGAATTAGGAATCCATAGTTCACTCGAGACTTTAGAAAATTTCAACTTTTACATATCACTTGCTGTTTCTATCTTTACCTAAATTATGTAGATGATATAAGAAGTTTTAAAAAAAATTCATGAGGGTCTAACTTGTAAAATGAACCTTTCTATCTTTTAAAATGGGAAAATAATTTCACTTTCTTTACAATTATCAGTACAATGTATATATAAAATCCTTATCCAATTTTGAAAACATATTGTGAAACCATACTCAAAGCCTGAATTTCCATACTAGATATGTTTGGAAGTCAATCATATACATGTGTATATAGTTTTTAGAGAAAGTAGTCTAATCTTGTTGCTTTCCCAAAATATACTATTCCAGAATTTAGTCACAAGATGGGAATCAGTGTGATTCACTCAATTCCCATAATTCCCTCAGCTCTTAATGCTTATTGACTAATTTATTGACTAAATTGGGAAAAGATATGTGGTGGGGTTGTCCTACATAGTAGAGGATGTTTTTATTGCACCCTAGGGAAGCCCTAGTTCATGTGACACTGGTGAGATTTATGCAATATATATGCAAATTTACCGACGGAAAAACCCAAGGGCTATGTGGGTCATCAAGATTGAGCTGAAAAGAAGCAGGGTGCTTAGAGGCTGACTCCTTTTCCCCTTCCCAAGTTCTATTATGATTTGATTCTGCTTCCATTCAGGTCCCACTTAACCCTGAAGCACTAGAAAATTGCCCATACCTTCAGGTGCAAGAGGAAGTGGTGAGCATAGATATGAAATCAGAAAGAGGAAGTGGGGGTCTTATGTAGTATATGCCAAGAGATCACACTTCTGCTACATGAGGTTGATGGCAATTTACCGTTTCTATTCTTATATGTCAAGTTTTTCAGTGTTTCTCATTAAGTATAGTTGCAGTAGAAGAGATAATTAGGCAAACATTTGTTTACTTGTTCTCTCCCCCGTTAGAGCGTGTGCTCTTCAAGGGCAAGGACTGTCTTCTGCCTTTATTTGTATCCCCAACACTTAGCATAGTGCCTAGCACATAGTTGGTGCCTAATAAATGTTTATTCACTGAGAGACTGATTAAGGGCACTGGACAAGGACAAAGACTAAAGATCTTTGCCTATTATGACCTCTTGCACATAACTCCCTTCTTTTTATTGTAGTAGAATTTATCAAAGATGAAAGACCCAGAGGCATAGTGCTTTTTTTTTTATTAGTAGTTGTAACAGTGGATGAGGGTCTGAACTAAGGTAGTGTCAATGTGACTGGAGGAAAGGAAGAGATGTGAGAATTGTGGAGATAAGATTAAAAAAAAAGACTTGGCAATCAATTGTAGCATCCAAGAAAGAAGAGATAATTATGTAATAACTAGTATTTATATAGTGATTACTACATGAAGGACTTTACAAATCATATCTCATTTGATCCTCACTATAACCCTGGAGGTAGGTGCTATTATTATCTCTATTTTACAGATGAGTAAACTGAGACAAACTGAGGTTAAGTGGCTTGTCCAGGGACACACAGCTAGTAGATGTCTGAGTCAGGATTTCAATCAGGTTGAATTCTGACTGCAAACCTGGCACTCTATTCACTGCACCACTTAGCTGCCTCAGTAGTCAAACATGATATGAAAATTAGGCACCTAAGTAACTGATTTCCCTTGATTAGAGCTCTTGATTTGTTGGTTACCTTAGACATTTGATCTTTTTTCAGATATGTGCTAGATTAGAAGGCCGTGGAGGTACCTTCCACTTCTAACATTCTGTGATCCCATATCATTGGAAATAGCTTTATGTATTATTCCTGCCATGATTAATTTTTGCTGTCATTCAGTCATTGCGGTCATGTCCAACTCTTCATGATTCCACTTGGGGTTTTCTTGGCAAAGATACTGAAGTATATTCTTAAATTCTGTATAGATTTGCTTCTCTACAGCTCCCAACCCGTTGTACCTAGTTCTATCATCTTGTCTCAGAACAAACAATTTCACTTTCCTATTCCTACATGACATCCCTTTAAATACTTAGAGACTGTTATATTACTCCCTTGTTTTCTCTTCTATAGTTCATAGTTCTTTCAACCAGTCCTCACATGATATGATTCTCATCCCCTCAACATTTTTGGTTGCTCTCTCCTAGACCTTCTCCAACTTGTCAATGCCTATTTCTTTTTAAAAATACGGTTTATTGAAGACCTCCATCTTTAAATCATAGCCATTTTCTACCCAACCTCTCTATACTGAACCTTTCCTTGTAATAGATAAAAACAATTAAGCAAAAAGATGTCTGATAACACATCTCTAGCAACAGAGACCATATCTGACAACATATGGAGTATTCCATCCCAGTAGTCTTCCATTTCTCTGCCATGAAGGAATAGCTGTTTCTTTTCTTCAGGACCTTTATTGATTTCCCCATTATTCAGAGCTCATCTTCCTTTTAATCATATTTTCATTGACATCATTGTAATCATTGTGAATGATAATATCCCTGCCAAAATGTGGCAACTGGAAAATTTTAATCTTAGAGTTCCCCTACATGGTAACAGTGGGAGTTTCTTCTCTTTCCACCTATAATGCCTCTCTATGACCAGAAATAGGGCCATATTTTCTAAGATAAGTATTGGGTTCTTTAGCTAGGTGTTGGGTGAGAGAAGAAAATGGAATCCTGAAATTATCTGGTACTTTTTACACTCTATGTGTCTCATAGGGAAAGCCCAGAAATGAAAGGTCTTTAGAGGAGGCCACTTCTGAGGGTATGCTCCTGCAGCTCTTCTAGATGTTAGACTGATCTAGGGGTGGGAAGAGTGAAGGGATAGCTATTAACTGTGGTCTTCTTTTATGTTTTCAGAGCCAAGAGCTTCTGGAGAAGACTCAGTCCCAAAAATGGTGATTGGAATCCTGGGGGAGTCTGTTATTCTCCCACTGGAAATCCCAAAAGAAAAGCAGATCACATATATTGTCTGGATTTCCCAAAGGTCTCTTGCCATCATAGAGACAGGAAAAGAAGGAAAATCACCCAAAATAATGATGACAAATCCTCATTATATGGGGCGAATAGACTTCCTCAACCAAAGCTATAGTTATGCTCCACAAATCAGTCACTTGAAGATGGAGGATGCTGGCTTCTACACAGCAGAAATAACTATAGCAAACATCACTGAACCCATTAAAAAGTTGTTCACCCTCCTCATCCATGGTCAGCACTAAGTTCAATTTCAGTATCTTTTCAAACACACTTACATCCAAAAAAATGAATACACCAAATGCTTATATGTCTTCCTGCCTGACTGTTGGGAAAGCTGCTTTCTTCCTGCACTCCAGAGTACAGGTTAAATTTAAAGGTGATTCTGCCTGAGTGTAAGCTGTACTTAGGAGTAATGCAATAAAACCCTATTGTAAAGATCCTTGCTATATGCTAACTTTAGGTGTAATAAATGTCAAATAAAGGTAGAACTTGGCCCAGCAATGTGGTACAGTAGAGAGGACCCTGGATTTATAATCAGGCAGCCCCACTTTAAATCTTGACTCTGTCCCTTAATATTCATGAAACTTTAGGCAAGTCACTTCACCTTTTGGGGCCTCAGTTTCCTGAGGAGATGAATCTAGACCCTCTAAGATCCCCTCTCTAAGTCTATGAGCCTATAAGTTACAATTATTTATTGTAAAGAAGAACTTTCTAACAATTAGAGCTGTTCCAAATTGGAATGGACTGCTTCATGAGGTCATACGCTCTCTGCATTTTAATGTGTTCAAATACAGGCCAGATGGACAATTGCCAGAAATACTGCAGAGGGATTCTTTGAATTGGATGAGATGTTGGATTAGATAACCTTCAGGTTCCTTTCATCTCTAACATACTACAACTCCCTGAGTATATAGTTAAGGATAATTGATTTCTCATATGATGGGACATCTTAAGCTTATAAGGAGGAAGTAGTATCCTTTTCCTTGTCCTTAGGGCAGGGTGCCACTATCTGTGAATAACTGTCCTCCTCCTCCCATCCTTTTCTGATCAACAGCAACCTAGAACAGGTAAAGTAGTTTCCCAGAATGGTTGGAGGAAAAGATGACTCCCTTGGGCTATGTCACTCTCTGTCCCACAAATGTAATGGCAGTCCCCAGCCTCTCACTGATGGGATCTGAGAAACCAGTACCTGTTACATGCCTCACACACTCCTGTTTGTGCAGAAGGAGGTGTTCCCTACCTGAACACTCTGCCCCTTTGTAGCTCTGGGTGTGCAACTGGAACTGCATGGTAACTGTCCAGAGTCACCAATTTCTTCTCCTTCTTTAACTCCAGGGCAGAACTCTGAAACTCAGAGTTCTGATGCTTAAGGAAATCATTGACCATCTTTATGGGGGGGGAGGAGCATAATCAAAACATCTCATTGAATATTATATTTTACCCTTCATGTAGAGCGATTGATGGAGCCAAAAATTACATTGGGTCCTAGGATCAATGATAATGGCACCTGTCTTATCAATGTGACATGTTCTGTGGAACAAGTAAGAGAGAATGTAACATACAACTGGACACCTGTGGGACAAAGGGCTAATGCATCCAGTGGAGGACCCATCCTCAGTGTCATTTGGAAACCTGGTGACCAAGACCAGTACACCTGTACTGCCACAAACCCTGTCAGCAACAGTTCCCATACTATCCTTGCCAGTAAGCTCTGTGCAGGTAAATTTCTGATTGTTTTCCCAGAAGCCTGAGATCATAGAGTCCTATAGGGATTTGAATTATAATTATTCTTGACCTTGGTACCAACCTAGTACCTATAGGAACAGAGCTACTGAGCTCTGTCACTAGCCAAGCCTCAGCCAAAGGAAATACTCCTGCTCTGAGACTGTGAGGAGGGAATTAGTTTCAGTGGTTGGTTCCCTTTAGTTGATCTGATCAAGGCAATTTTTTATGCATGGTTCAGATTACTCCCAGTGACCCTGCTTCTTTTCATCTTCTCTTTTAAGGCATTGAACATGGCATAAGCTACATCAGAGTCCTTCCATACCTCATGATGACCATCATCCTGGTTATTATTCTCCCTTTGTTGGGCCTGTCTTTCTGGTACATTCAGAGAAGGAAAGAAAAAGGTTTGAGCTTTTCGGCAAGATGAAGCACATTTTTTTAAAATCACAGAATGTCAGAGTTAAAAGGACTCTCAGAGATCACTAATGTCAAGTCACACCTTTATAGCATGTGTTAGGAGGGCTTTTATATACATAAGTGGGCTGGACCATGACATAATCATTCTTAGCCTTTCCCACAGCAGGCTCATGCATGGACAATTCAGGCATTCCTGGGCCCTGTGGGAACAGTCTTCAAACAGACACCAGAGTTAGAGCAGCAGGAACAGGAGTGCAGTACCTGGTTTGATTCACTTAGCCATTACAAGAAACAGGGGTTGTGAGCCTGTCAAGAGGTGTGATGATGGCTCTCAGATCCCTGGGAAATAGGGGGCAGTAAACATCTGGTTCTGGTCAAAGCAATACACTTTGCCAGAGGGTGAGATCATCCAGAGTGCAAAGGATTGTTGTTATGCCAAACTCAGGACATAGCCTGCTTATTGGGTCTCAGATCTGGGAAACAGGGTGTCTCCAAATGTCTTGACACCCTCAAGGAATTGATATTCTACTCTGCATGTGACAACATTTAAACAGATTAAATAAACATGGATCATAGACTAAGTAAATACAAATTAATCTGGGGAGAAAGGGCTCAAGTAACTGAGGCAGGGAGAGGGGCAGGATAAGGCTAGATGTCTCAATGCAGCCTAAGGTTTCATTGGCTTTTTTAGGTTGCTATATCACATTCAATACATATTTGGCTTTCAGTTCAATAAAATCCACAGATCCTTTTCAAACAAATGATTGTCTAGAGATGGCTCCTCCATGTTATACTTGAGAAGTTGGGGTAAGGGGCTTGTAGCTGTGTGAAAAACTTTACATTTATCCCTTTTCAATTTCATCTTATTAGAATCTGACTAATGTTATATCCTGATAAGATCTTTTTAGATCCCAAATGTTATCCAATATATTAGCTTTTCCTCCCAACGTTGTCTCACCTGTAAACTGGGTTTGTGGTTGCTATCTGTGCCTTTATCGAAGATATATCCAGAATAATAATGTTAAACTGCTCAAAGCCAAGCACTCCAGGGCACTTTAATGGAGCAGCCTTCCAAGTTGAAATTGAATCATAAATCACACTGAGATTTCACAATTCTACACAAGTTTCTTACTTCCTGGAGGCCAGGGAGATTAAGCCTCAGATGCCTCTCAAACTTAGTCTCCTATGGTCCCTATTTACCCCACACCTGTCTGGAGGCTCTCCCCATAGCGGATTCCTTACCATCTTCCAGAGGATGTTTTAATGTCACTACATTGGTTTGATTACATTGTTGGGACAGTCCCTATATAACTGGCTGCTTAGGGAAAAAATGAAGGGCTCCTACTCTTACATTCCATGAAGAAAACTGGATAGTGGCCCTGAAGCTCATTTTCCTCCCAGGATCTCTACTCTACATTTCCCATTCTCCTAATTGTCAGAGTCCAGCACCCTTTGGTATGCTGGGAAATGTTTAATAAGCTCTCAAAAATCAAGCCCTGATTTGTAATGTTTGCTAATTACCAAGTTATAGATGCTCACACATAAAATTTAACAATTGACTCTCCAGAAAGCAGTTAAACTGACTTGAGCAACATCCCTGCCAACACCCATTTTCTCCCTCTTCACAGGCCTTCCTCTATAATGACCATCCCTCCAATATCATTTTCTTTCCAGAGAATTCTGACAGCAGTAATAAATATTCTCTCTCTCTCTCTCTCTCTCTCTCTCTCTCTCTCTCTCTCTCTCTCTCTCTCTCTCGCTCTCTTTCTCTTTCTCTCTGTGTCTCTGTCTCTCTCTCCTCTTCCATCTTCTTTACCCCTCCCTCTCATCCTTTCCCTTTATTGTTTTGCCTCCTAGAGCCTGCTTTTTTTAAGCAGCAGCACTGCAACATTCTCCAGAAAATATTCTGATGAGTATGTAGTTTCTGGATGTCTAAGATGGTCACAGATGGCCAAGGGATTCACCTTGAGGATTGTTTTGAGGACTGACCAGTGATGTGGCATTCTACAATATATTAATATATCTTTAACATACAACATGATTGGCTCCTAGTAATATGCAATGACTAAACTCATGTCTCTGCCTTCAAAGTCATAGGTGGTAGCACAGGGAGGTAACAAATAGATCGGTATCATGAATTCTAAACCTGTCTTTCCTCACTGGGTTGCAGAGGCTGATGCAAGAGACCAGGACTGTACTATTTATGACTCAATTTCTAATCTAAGCCCTGATATTACAGAAAATACAGAGTATGCCACAGTTTCATATCCTAAAGTAAGTTCTTTCTCATTCCTCCCCAGAGCCTGGGCTTTTCCCCATGTGAAATCTTTGTTTATGCGGGGTTGAAGTTTGGTATTAAACCATTTACAAAGGGGTGGGGTGGGGCAAGTGTCATATTAATTGTCTTCTGATGTGTCTAATGCCACCTTCTCATCACCCAAAAGACATTACTGAAATCTTCCACTCCCAAGTGACTACCCTCTTCCTCTCCATCCCAGTCCGAGTTATGAAATTTTGGTCACCTATCCATTTTTAGCTTATCATGGTATATAGTACAACTCTGAAATATCACCTCCAATATCAGATTGGCTAACACGACAGAAAAGGAAAATGACAAATACTGGAGGTGATGTGGAAAAATTGAGATAGTAATGCACTGTTGGTGGGGTTGTGAACTCATCCAACCATTATGGAGAACAATTTGGAACTACATTCAATGGACTATAAAATTGTGCATACCCTTTAACCCAGCAATATCACTATTAGGTCTGTTTCCCAAAGAAATCAAAGAAAAGGGAAAAGGACCTCTTTGTACAAAAAAAATTTATAAGGGTTCTTTTTGTGATGGCAAAGAATTGAAAATTGAGGGGATGCCCACCAATTGGAGGATGGCTGAACAAGTTATGGTATGTGATTGTGAGGGAATACTATTGTGCTATTAAGAAATGATGAGCAGGATGGTTTCAGAAAACTTGGGAAGATTTATATAAACTCATGCAAAATGAAGTGAGCAGAATCAGAAGAACATTGTACACAGTAACAGCAATATTGTAAAGATGGTCAAATGTGAAAGACATAGCTACTCTAATCATGACAATGATACAAAATAGTTCCAAAGGACCCAAGATGAAAAATGCTATCCAAAGCCAAAGACAGAACTGATGAACTTTGAATGCAGAGTAAAGCATACTTTTTCTAAACTTTATTTATTTTTATCATTTTGTTTGTGTCTGTATCAAGATGTTTGCCTTCTCAAGGAGGGAGAGAGAGAATATGGAACTCAAAATTTTTTAAAATGATTGTTAAAAATATTTTTACATATAATTGAGAAATATTTAATGAGATAAAATAATTTTTAATAGACTTCTGTTTTCTGTTTTGCTAATTAAGGCATTTTATATGTTTTTAAATGAATTTGAAATTTTCAGATTTCCTAGCATATAATTATAGATTTTCAAATAATACATAGTGATGATACTTCTTATCTCTTCTTAGTTTGGATCTTGCCTTGTTTGATCTTTATTTTGCTTATTTGATTTTCCTTTTCTTTTTTCATTCAGGCTACTTCTAAGTTTATTGATTTTGTTAGTCTTTTCAAAGGATATCTTTTTATTTATCATAGATACTTTTGTTTTCTATTTTGTTAATTTCATCTACAATTTTCAAGATTTCATCTAGTGAGCTAATTTTGGGTTTGTTGATTTCTTAGTTTTTTTAAGTATATAATCTGTTCATAAATCTTCTCTTTCTGTTCTGTTAACATTTGTTTTCAGCTATGTATTTTTTCCAAAGACTGGCTTTAGGGTATATTCTTTGATATGCTTATTATTCATAATATCATGATCAAATCTCTTTTTAGGTCTATATCTTTTCCTTCTGTTCTTTATGTTAATTTTTTACTGTGTTATAATCTGCAAAGGATGCATCTATTAACTCTGCTCATTTATACTTATTTATAATTTTATGTTCCCTATCATGTGGTCTATTTTATAAAGGTACAGCAGTACTAAAAAATAATTTTAGTCCTTAATGTTACCATTCAGAAGGCAAATTTTTGCATCTAACTTCCCTAACAGTTTGTTCAGTTTTGTACTTTAGTTTTTGTTAATCTTGTTAGATTTATCCAGTTCCAAAAGAGGAATACTAAAGTCTCCTAAAATTTTCATATTATTATCTATATCTTATAAATCAGTTAACCCTTTATGAATACACATATGTGTAATGTTGATATTCTTTCATTGCCTAAGTATCTGTAAACATAATGCAGTTTCATTTTTATCTCTTTTGGTATAATGAATTTATAATTTGTCTTGTCTGATAGTATGATTGTAACTCCTACTTTATTATTTTTTTGAGGCAATCAGGGTTAAGTGGCTTGCTTAGGGTCACACAGCTAGTAAGTTTCTGAGACTGGACTTGAACTGCAGGTCCTCCTGACTGCAGGGCTGGTGCTCTACTCACTGGGCCACCTAGCTGACCCATGTACCTCCTACTTTTGAGAAAATCATCTAATGCTTAGTAGATTTTGTTTCATCAGCTTGTTTTTATTCTGTATGTATCATTATTTTTAGATGTGTTTTTTGTTTACATCAAATTCTTAGTTTTTAGTTTCTTATCCATTTGACCATTCTCTTGCTATTTGGGATGGTTTAATACATTCACATTTATAGTTATTATTGTTAGACATGCATTATCTTCTGTGTGTTCCTTTTATGTTAATTTTTATCCCCTTCTTCTTTTAAAGTCAATACTTTGTCCCTGTAATTAGTTTTGCTTATGCTATTTTGATGCCAATCCCTTCCCACAGGATTCTCTCCCCCTGCCTTGTTTCTCTGACCTATCCAAATTTCCTTGACATTCAATTCCTTGTATCTATTTATCTGTTGAATTCCCATTTTTTTGACCTTTCTCTTACTCCCTCCCCCAGTTAAGTGTGTGGTTCAAAAATGTTCCCTCCCATAGCCCAACTACTTATTTTAAGGAACATTCTTTTGCAGTGTCCTCTTCCAATTAATTTTTCCTTTGATTTGCTCTCACATTGCTTTTTTTTCATTCTCATTTATTCTGAATTCTGTTCTTCAGTTATGTGCTAGACCTTTAATTATTCCTTTTTTTTTTTTTATTCTTTCTGTGTCTCTGCTAAAGATTATTTCTGGAATAACACATTTGAATTTCCTCCTCATCCCACTTGTAAATTGTTGAATTAGTAGATCTTATATATACCATTCATTTTTTTCTTCTTCTGAGCCTCATAATGATATTAATTAATGAAGAAATTGGTGTCAAATAGTTAATAGTTATCTACATAGATATTATGGTTTCTAAAATTCTTTTATTATCTCACTTGATACAACAGCCCAGTGAAGTAGGGGCTTCATCCATTTTGTAGATGAAGATTCTGAGGGTCAAAGAGATTAAAAGATTGTCTAGGAGGAGTTGAGGCAGGATTTGAACTGAGGTCTACCGTGATACTAAGTCCACTGCTCTAATCACTGTGCTGCCTACCTACCTCCAGAAAAAGTAACCTAACATTTATATAGCATTTTAAGATTTGCAATGCACTTTAAACATCTTTTATCATTTGATCCTCACAAAAATCCTGTGAAGTAGGTGCTATTATTATCCCCAATTTCTATGAAAAAAAAAAAACTAAAGCTAGCAAAGTTGTGTCTTGTCCAAGTCATATAACTAGTAAGAGTCTGAGGTAGACTTTGAATTGAAGTTTTCTTGACCATAAATACAGCACTTGATCCCCTAAACCATAACTGCCTACTCAATGGTGTTTTGTGGTTGGATTCACTCTATGCCCCAAGTCATGAAGCCTGGTCCAGCCTTCTGACTTTACTTTGATCAGTCTCCATTCCTAAGTCTGTGTGAACTTATCCTAGCTATGTACCTCTCCACCCCAAAGTGCTCCCCCCCATCACTATGAGTCCTGGCTGCCTTTGGGCATTACCTTTCCTGGATTGTGATTCATCCCAGAAGGTAGGACCCTCTCTCTGAGAAGGTGATCTCCAAAGGTGTAAATTCTCCCCAGATGAAACCCACTATAAGGTCCATGTCTCTTACTACAGACAAAAATATCCCCTCTTCTGTCTCTATCTCCATGACAATGTTCTTTAGAGGCACGTTTCCTTTCCCTTTCTACACTGACATACCCATCCCAATCTTTCCCCATTTTTACTTCTTTCCCATATTTGCCCATTCCTTCCATCTTATTAAGAGATTAAGAGATTGGAGCAATTACTACTCATTTTCTCTGTTCATCATCTGAGTAGAAATGAATCTCCAGTTTCTCTATTTCTTCTTTTCCTTCTCTCTCTTCCCACATCTTGCCGTTGTATTATCTTTTCTGCAAAAATAATATGGATTCACTTATCTGTTAATGTGGGATTTAGTTCCATGTTGAATTGAATTTTTAGGAATAGGAATTGAACTCTTCCTCATTCTCTCCTTATCCTTCAAATTCTCCTTAAATCTTTAGTCCTTAAAGTTCCTTTGTCCCCTTTATTATATCTTTTTTATTTTTTCTTTTATTCTTCGATTCCTTTTTTTAAAAAATTGACAGTAGCCTCCAAACATAAAAGAACTTATTTCACTACTTAGTCTTTTGAAGTTGGAGTTTAGGTATGATATCACAAAGAATGAATCCCTCTTGGCTACCATACACTACTGCTCTGGTGGGTCTAGCTGGTCTTTCCTCATTAGACTTGGCTGCTGTCAAACTCTGTCATGGATTCTAGTTCCGGAACTCTTGGTGCTCTCCCATCCTTTTGAAGCTCACAAATCATTGCCTAGTATATTCAGTATCTGATACTTTTCACCTAAGAGCAAGAAAGAATAGATACAATGGAGAGAGGAAAACAGCTGGGCTCTGCATTCACTGGCCACATGTTGACCTGGGCAGGAAGGAAATAAGGCTTTTTATGCCACCCAGAGGCTTATATCATGTCTTCCTTGGATCACCAACTTGAAAAAAGATTTTCATGACTTCCTTGAGACAGGATGAGAGAGAATCCAGAGCTCTTCCCCACCAAGAGTCTCATATAATTAATTCCCCTTTCCCAGGAGCCCTTCCCTGCCTATAATTTAGAATGGTGGTAGGTAAACCATGCAGAGCAGCTCTGAGATCCTCCATTTAAGGAGGATACTCAGTTAGATAACTCCCACTTCCCTTTCAGTTTCTTTTCATATGTTATCTTCCTCCATTAGATTATGAGCTCCTTGAAGGCAGGGACTCACTTTTGCATTTCTTTGTATCCTCAGTGTTTAGCTTGGTGCCTGATAAATAGCAAGCACTTAATAAGTGTTTATTGATTGAATGATTTCTCACTTGAAGTCTGTCAGAGAATAAAGAGATTGAGTTGTCCTAATGGAAGTTTTTTGCATGCATATTTAGTTCTGGATCAGTAGACAATCACAAAGTCTTACATTCACCATGTGGTAAGCAGACAGGAAATAAGAATGCATGTGCTTGCTTCAAAGTCTATGTGGAGGCATAAGGTCAAGCATTTTAGGCATGCTCCTAAGGGTAGGACTCTCCTGGGCTAGTCCTATGTTTTACATTTCTTTTAAGTTCTGTACCACAATATTTCTGTTTTTAAATTTTTGCTTTCAGAACTTTGATTTTTGACCCAATTTTATTCCTTATATTTTTATTTGAAGGTTTTATGGTTTTTTGTAGCCATTATAGAGTTTCTTGCTATTGTTCTGTGTTCTGTAATCTAGGGGAGTTCTGGTCTTTTTGACCAGAAAGTTTTGGTTTATTTTTTTCTTCATGGCATAATACTTGTTCATAGTGTTTTTGTCCTCTTTTTAAATTTTTATTCATTCTTCCTTTAAGTCTTCCTGAGTCTTGATTTAATCTTTTTGTGAGTTAGGTTTTTACTTAGGCTTTCTAGTGACATCTTTTGGATTTCTGGTCTTTCTCTTGTATTCCCATTTATTTGTCTAACTTTCTTCCTCATTCATTGATCCCTTTTGTATCCACAGCTACATAAATTCCAAAGCTAGGTATTTTCAACTCATTTACCTTGGGAGAATATCGGCCCCAACTAGGTTTCCAGTACCTTTTCCATCTGGAACAGAAGCTATTTTGCCTTCTAGCCAGCTCTGCATTTCACTCTGCAACTCCTGCTGTCCCCACTAACTATTGCTTACTCCTTTCCTACTCCTCCTGTTCCCTTTCCTGCTTTTCTCTATTTCCTTCTCATGTATGAGAGGAATCAATATTTGCTTCCTTTTGGGGGAGGAAGGATAGAGGTCATGCTGAGTCACTGCCATGGAGGAACTGGGTAAAGATTCCAGAATCTTGACTCAGAAGCACAATCTTGAGAGTTTGCTTGTATTTAGTATGCTGGTTCACCTAGTACATGGACCTCAGTGGAGTTTGTGGACACTGCATGGGAACTCTATTTAATTTTTATGACGTTATTTATTAACTTTGCTGATATGTGTGATTGTTGGGGTTTTTTTTTAGCTTTTGCAACTGTTTATCTTTTCTCGTGTATTCAAGTTAAGTTACTCTTGTACATGAATTCTTTTTCTGATTTTTTAAATGAATTGAATTTGAATTGAATTTTTGAATCAAATTTCTGAATTTTTTTAATTGTTTCAGAAAAACAACTGTCAAGATGGTGGCTCTTGACAATCATATCACTTAACCTTTTCTTAAAGCCAAAAGTCTTTTCCAATGAATAGATAAATCTCCTATCGATATTCACCTGTTTCCATCCTTTTTTGGAGCAGCTAGGTGGTATGGTGGATAGAACTCTAGGCCTGGAGTCAGGAAGACATGAGTTCAAATCCAGCCTCGGACACTTCATAGCTGTGTGACTTTGGGCAAGTCACTTAACTTCTGTTTGCCTCAGTTCCTTCAACTGTAAAATAGGGATACTTATAATACTTCCCTCACAGAGTTATTGTGAGGATTGAGGTACTATCTGTAAAAGTGCTTTATGCCTATTAAAAGTTTGTTTCCTTTCTTGACATCATACATTTCTGAGTTATGACAGAGTCTCTGTTACTCAGGGGAATGATGGTATTTTAATGTTTGTTTGTTTGTTTTTTTACAGAAAAACATCCAAAAGAATTTGGAAGCACTGCATACAGTTTATGACATTTTACAGAATACTACAAAGGTAAGGAATTTTTCCTTAATTTTTTATTCTCTTCCTCTGCCTCAAGTCTTTATTGCCTTTTTGGAGCTCTCTGAAGAATGGTAAATTCCCTTAGACATATTCTTTATGGCTAAGACATAGTACCTGCCCTCATGAAAATTATACAATAGAAAGGAGATATACGTATAAAACAAAACACTAATTGATATGGGACAGGGGAGAGTTATTAACAACTGGAGAAAATCATGGAAGACTTCATAGATGAAGTTGCATTGGAATTGGAATTTAAAGTCTTAGTAAGAATTTAACAGGTGACTAGAGAGAGCAGCATTCATTCTAAGGATAGGCAACAGCATAAGCAAAGACAGAGAGGGAAGACAAGCTCCTGGGATGTTCAATCAGCAGGACCTTAACTAGAGTTTCTGAAGAAGATTGTTCAACTATGAGAATAGCCTACCAAGGCAGGTTGAAGAAATCTCATGTTTGGAAGGTTTTTGAAAGGTAGAATAGCTTCCCTATGTGTCTATGATGGTTAGGTTCTGTCCAAGGCAGTGGGAAAAGGGAAGAGCAGAGAAAACTTCAAAAGATGATCCATATATTTATATACTTATGCCAGGAGTGTGCTAGAGCCAGTTTTAGTGAACTTATAAAACCCTGGTTAAGTTTTCATTGTCAGGATTTACTCCTCGAAATCAGTCAGCTACAAATCAGGCATATATATACACATACATACACATACATACACACATACACACATACACATATACACATATATGTTATTGATTGTCTAGGCTTAAGAAACTGTTAATAATGCAAATTAGATTTAAAAGTACGTATTCTCTTCTACCAACAGTCTGGTTGTTAAACATCTACTAGTGCATCTTTTGCTCTATAAATATTGCTGAAACTTTGCCAGAGTTCAGTAAAAGACTCAGGGAATGAAGTCATCTGCAGACAAAAGTTCTGGGGACTGGAGCCTAGTAACAATGATAATAACTGCCATCTATAAGTACTTTAATGTTTGCAAAGTGCTTTACATCCATTATCTCATTTGAGTCTGATAACACCCCTGCTTGTGTCTTTTTTACAGATGGACAAATCTGACACGCTTGAAAAGAACCGAAGGTCTCCAGGAACATTAGACTTTGGTAATATCATCTAAACAACAAAACAGTTCAAACCTCCCTCTGAAAGTGTTAAGCATTCTTACCAGTTGTTAATGCAGGATTTGGGACTCAGTAGGAGGGCATATTCACTTCTGAGCATTTGTTCAAAAGAAGAAAATTTGTGACAAATTAGCAAGCAATCTTGTAGCTCTTTAGCCATTACAAGCATCCTATATTCACTGCCGATATCCCTCTGTCACCTGGAGCCTGACATTGATTATTCTAGAAAATGATTTGGTACCCATGCACTAGAATGCCTGTCTCTTGTTAATCCATGCTGTTTTCCCTGTACAAGGTTTATGACTTGGAAACAGATTATTTCTGCATTTCAAGACACTTGGAAATGTTGCTCCCTTTGGAATACAGATTAAAAATCTTTGCTGGAATAAGGAATAATATGTTATAATTTTGCCCTTTTTAGACTTTGATTATATCCACAGGCAGGAAACTTTGAGTGTCTAGGAACTGAATTATTCACATATTGTAAAGGGTGAAAAACTAGGAATGGCCTATTTGCATCTTGAAAAGAGTGTACCTGACTTTCTGCTTCTGGGAGCCAAGATGGCAGAGTAAAAAGGTAGTCGCTCTCACCCACCCCTATCAACCTCTGAAAACCCAGAAAATATCACCCCAGAAAAAACCCTGGAACAGCTGAACCAGAAGAAAGACGGGGTGCAGCAGTACAATAGCCCAGGTAGCTAGAGGGATTAATGGGAAAGGCCCCTCTTACCCTGGGGGAAGGGGAGCAGTACGAAACAGGAGTCACCCAGCCAGCTGGTGGAAAGACCCACTTTAGCACACCAGGAGGAGATTCTCGTGCCTCGGCATTCTACAGCAAACGGGTCTCCCAATGCCTCAGCAAAAATAAGGGAAGCAGCACTACAAACAGCCCCAGGTGGATAAGCACCCGGCAGCATTCGCCTGAAAGGAGCTGAAGAAAGCAACCTAGAGGTGCCAAAAAGTTCCAGCCTTGTTGATTCCAGCCCAACACCAGGTAAGCTGTCAGAACCCTGCAGCCTCCAACTGCCAACCAGGAGGAAATCCCGAAGCCCAGGTGGTCAAGCAGGCAAACACCAACAGCTGTACCTCAGAGTGCCTCAGTGAGGGTGGGGTAACCAGTGGAAACCAGCTCAGAAAACCACCAGGTGCCTCAGCATTCTACAGCAAAGAAGTCTCCCAGTACCTCAACAGAAATAAGGGAGGCAGCACTGCAAGGGGCCCGAGGCAGATAAACACCTGGCAGCACTTATCTAAAAGGAGCTGAACAAAGCTAAAGGAAAGGAAAAGCAGGCAACCTAGATTTACCTGAAAGTCCAAGCCTTGCTGATTCCAGCCCAACACCAGATAATCTGCCAGAAACCTATAGCCTCCAATTACCAACATAAGAGGCCCCAGCACACAAAACCAGTGACCAAGACCTAGGCTCCCAACACAAGAAGCTTGGGTCAGTGCCCTCTGCTCCCCAGCAGGAGAGCTTAATTTCTTTAAAGGCCAGGAAATAAAGAAACACCATGAGTAAAAAGAAATGTACTATAGATTCCTATTATGAGAAGAGTGAAGATCAAGACAGAAATTCTGAAGAGGACAACACTGTCATCAAACCCACATCTGCAACATCAAAAGGGAATATGAACTGGTCTGAAGCCCAAAAATCCTTCTTAGAAGAACTCAAGAAGGATTTTAAAAGTCAAATGACAGAAGTAGAGGAGTCCTTTAAAAGCACAATTGGCCAATTGGAAAAAAAGTACATTGAAGAAAACAAGTCCCTAAAACACACAATTGGCCAATTGGAAAAAAAGTACATTGAAGAAAATAAATCCCTTAAAAATACAATTGACCAATTGGAGAAGAAAGTACAAAATCTAACAGAAAAAAACGATATGTTAAAAATTAGAATTGAACAAACGGAAACTAAAGACTCTATGAAAGAGCAAGAATCAGTCAAACAGAAACAAAAAAATGAAAAATAGATGAAAACATAAAATACTTCATGGGTAAAACAGCTGACCTGGAAAACCAATCCAGGAGAGACAATTTAAAAATTATAGGCCTACCTGAAAGTCATGATGAAAAAAAAGAGCCTGGACAATATCCTTCAGGAAATCATAAAGGAAAACTGCCCTGAAGTCCTAGAACCTGAAGGTAAAATAATTGTAGAAAGAATCCATTGCTCCCCACCTGAAAGAGATCCCAAATTGGAAACCAAGGAATATAATAGCTAAATTCCAAAATTACCAGATAAAAGAGAAATTACTGCAAGCAGCCAGAAAGAAACAATTTAAATATCATGGAACCACAGTCAGGATTACACAGGACCTTGCAGCCCCTACATTGAAAGACCATAGGGCATGGAACATTGATATTCCATAAGGCAAAGGAGCTTGGAATGTAGTCAAGGATTAACTACCCAGCGAAAATCAGCGTGATTTTTCAGGGAAGGCGATGGATATTCAACAAAATAGGGGAATTCCAAACGTTCCTGATAAAAATACCAGAGCTCAACAAAAAATTTGATCTTCAAGTACAAGATTCAAGAGAGACATAAAAAGGTAAATGGGATAGAAAGATACAATATGTTGTTAATAAGGGCAAAATGTTTACATCCTTACAAGGGAAGATGATACTTGCAACTCTTGAGAACTGTATTGTTATTATACCATGTTAAAGGAATATACATAAAGGGGGTGGATATAAGTTGACTTTGATGTAATGATAAAAAAAAAATTTAATCAAGTGGGTTAAATGGATCCAAGTAAGTGGATTAGTCTGAGCTAAGAAAATGTACTGAGAAAGGAGGAGGCAGACAAGGGTAAATTACATTACAGGAAAAGACGCAAAAACCTATTAGAGCAGAGGTAAAGAAGTGAGGGGGATGAGCATTGTTTGAACCTTACTCTCATCAGATTTGGCTCAAGAAGGGAATAACATAATCAGTTAGGTATAGAAATCTAACCTGTACTTTAGGTAGTAGGAGGGGAAAGGGGAAAGAAAAGGGAGGGGGGATAGAAGGGAGGGAAGAAGCAATAAGGGTAAAGGGGAAGAAAAGGGAAAGGGATAATGGAAGGGAGGTGGGACCCAAGGAGGCCCTGGTCAAAAGCAAAACACTAGTGAGGGGGGGAAAGGAGAAAGGAGAAAGAAAAGCATAAACAGGGGGGAAAAAAGGATGAAGAAAAAGACACAGAGAGTAATCATTACTGTAAATGTGAATGGAATGAACTCTCCCATAAAACGGAAGCATATAGCAGATTGGATTAAAAACCATAATCCTACAATATGTCATTTACAGGAAACACATTTGAAAAAGAGTGACACATACAGGGTAAAGGTAAAAGGCTGGAGCAAAATATATTATGCTTCAGCTGAAGTAAAAAAAAGCAGGGGTAGCAATCCTGATCTCAGACAAAGCAAAAGCAAAAGTAGATCTTATCAAAAGAGATAAGGAAGGAAACTACATCCTGCTAAAAGGCACCGTAGACAATGAAGTAATATAATTACTAAACATATATGCACCAAATGGTATAGCATCCAAATTCTTAGAGGAGAAGTTCAGGGAGTTACAGGAAGAAATAGACAGCAAAACTATACTAGTGAGGGACCTCAACCTCCCCCTCTCCGAACTAGATAAATCTAACCACAAAATAAACAAGAAAGAAGTTGAGGTGAATAGAACATTAGAAAAGTTAGGTATGATACATCTGTGGAGAAAACTGAATGGGGATAGAAAGGAATATACTTTTTTCTTGGCGGTACATGGCACATACACAAAAATTGACCATGTACTAGGGCATAAAAACCTCACAATCCAATGCAGAAAGGCAGAAATATTAAATGCATCCTTTTCAGATCATGATGCAATAAAAATTATATGTAACAAAGGGCCATGGAAAGATAGACTAAAAAATAATTGGAAACTAAATAATCTAATCCCAAAAAATGATTGGGTCAAAGAACAAATCATAGAAACAATCAATAATTTCATTCAAGAGAATGACAATAATGAGACAACATACTAAAACTTATGGGGTGTAGCAAAAGCAGTTCCTAGGGGAAGTTTTATATCTCTAAATGCTTACATAAATAAAATAGAAAAAGAGGAGATCAATGAATTGGGCATACAACTAAAAAAAACTAGAAAAAGAACAAATTAAAAATCCTCAATTAAACACCAAATTAGAAATATTGAAAACCAAAGGAAAAATTAATAAAATTGAAATTAAGGAAACTATTGAACTAATATGTCAAACTAAGAGCTGGTTTTATGAAAAAAACCAATAAAATAGATAAACCTTTGGTTAATCTAATTAAAAAAAGGAAAGAAGAAAACCAAATTACTAGTATCAAGAATAAAAAGAGTAAAACCACCACAAGGAAGAGGAAATTAAAGCAACAATTAGGAATTATTTTGCCCAACTCTATGCCAACAAATTTGACAATCTTAGTGAAATGGATACATATTTACAAAAATATAAATTGCCCAGATTAACAGAAGAGGAAGTAAAATACTTAAATAACCCCATCTCAGAAAAAGAAATTGAACGAGTCATTGATGAACTCCCTAGGGAAAAATCTCCAGGGCCAGATAGATTTACATGTGAATTCTATCAAACATTTAAAGAACAATTAATTCCAATACAATATAAACTATTTGGTAAAATAGGCAAAGAAGGAATCTTACCAAATTCTTTTTATGATACACATATGGTGCTGATACCTAAACCAGGAAGAGTCAAAACAGAGAAAGAAAATTATAGACCAATTTCTCTAATGAGATGCAAAAATTTTAAACAAAATATTAGCAAATAGATTACAGCAACTTATCACATGAATAATACCCTATGACCAGGTAGGATTTATACCAGGAATGCAGGGCTGGTTCAAAATAAGGAAAACTATCAGTATAATCCGTCATATCAACACCAAAACTAACAGAAACCACATGATCATCACAATAGATGCAGAAAAAGCTTTTGACAAAATACAAT